AGACGGGGCGGCCGAAGCAGGAGGGGAGCGGGCAGCCACGGGGGAACACCGGTGTCGGAGAGAAGAATTGAGAGGAACTGGTGGGTGGCGAGAGGCAGGAACGGAGACGCTCTGCTGAGGAAGGAGTAAAAGCAGGAGAGCAGAGGCAAACTACGAGAAGAACCAAAGTAATAAAGGAAAGGGGAAGAGAGGAGATAAAGCGGTTCCTCGGAGAAAGAAGAACGCAAAGGAGAGCGAGCACGGAAGGACTCCACTGATGAGAGAGAGGAGTTGAAAGACCCCCCCGAGAGACACCAAACACAGACTGACTCGGAAACTCCCTCCCTCTCTCTCTCTCTTTGTCCCACCACAAGGATTTGATGCCCCTCAGCCTGTTCACTTCTGTGTGTTCATGTTTCCCACAGGTTTCTCTTCCCCCAACCCCCCAGCTACAGCCCAGGAGGTCAGACCTGCCACTGATGGTAATACCAGCAGCAGCTCCTCCTGCAAGAAGAGAAAGTTAAATAACAGCAGCAACAGCAATTCTGAAAGAGAAGAATTTGATTCCCTTTCTTCCTGCGCCTCTTCTCCTTCCAAAAACACCTCCTCGTCATCTTCCTCGGTCATCACCACCTCCTCGTGCTCCTCCTCAGGGGTTGCCTCCTCCAACCATCATCTCCAGAAGAAGCTGCGCTTTGAGGACTCCTTGGATTTCATTGGACTCGATGTGAAGATGGCTGAAGAGTCTTCTTCCTCCTCCTCCTCTCCTGCTGCCTCTTCTCAACAGCAGCATCAACAACAGCTCAAAAATAAAAGCCTTTTAATTTCGTCAGTGGCTGTGGGGCACCATGCAAATGGCCTGACCAAAGCTGCCTCCTCTACTGTTTCCAGTTTCGCCAACAGTAAACCTGGCTCCGCTAAGAAATTAGTGATCAAGAACTTTAAAGGTAACAGGCCATCATTTGTCACAACCTACGGGGAGCTGACGCTCAACTTTGTGTTTTGTTTTCAACATGAAAACCGGTTGGCTTTCAAATAGCTCCAAGTTTTACAGGAAATGCTTTTTTTCTGTGGTGAGCGTTTCTGTACTTTTGTAAAGGGGGGGTAATGTTTTGTGGTGCATACTTGCCCAGTCATGTACACATCCTGAGGTACAGCTCGCTGCTTGGGATTGTTTTTCAGGCTCCTTTCACTTTGTCTGTTTGAGAAGGCCTTAACTTATATGTTAGACGAAAGGTTTTACTACGTGAGTGTGTAAATCGCCTTTCTTCAAACTTTTAATGTTTGATATCTCTTTTCTAGTAATCCTGATTCAGGGCTTAGTATATATTTTAGTCTAGTTTATGATAAGTCTTTGCACAGTATGCGGGGTTTTTTTAAGTTGGGCCTGAATCTATACGTCTTGCCTCTATCCATGTTGTCTGTTTGTAGGTTAATCTGCCTGTGCTTAGTTTTAAATATTGAAACTAAGGTGATTATCAGGCTATTATGGTGGATTTCCTTGCTGGCTTCCCCACTTACCTTTAAAGTAGATAGTTCAGATTTTTTTCTGCATGTTTTCCCTGCAATATCCTTGCTGTAATTTTTATTATTTAATTCTTTAATGACTTTTCTTTTTCTTAACATACTTTGATCTTACAATCTTACGTTATTTTATAAATTCTCTCAAAAGATGTGTCTGAGATTCTCAAGTATTGCTACTAGAGACCAACTGAAGCAGAGAAATGAAACTTTTCTGCTGTGGTGATGTTTCAATTTCTAGCAAACAAAAATACAAATAGGTATAGGCAGAAAGCTTAGCTAAAATCTTTTTTTTTTCCCGTGTTAAGATGGGGAAATCATGGGCTTTTCTTATTTCCTGTCTCTTGCGATCTTCCAAAATAGTCCGTAGTACTGACATTAAAATTAATTTCTAAATACACAATTGATCTAAATGTTCTGTAGAGATTTCGCTAAAAGTAAGGATTAGGATTATTTTAGCCACTGGAATGTTTTAGAGCAATTCATTATCACAGTGTAACATTTTGCTGTAAGATCCTCCTAATTCTCAAGAATGTTCTCTGCCCATCACGTCATCATCGTTTAATTTGATTATTTAAAAATAGTTAGGATGCATGATAGTGAGAAACAAATGCGGTCTTCTGTTGCTTGTACACTGTTATCATTAAGGGAATTCAACTTTTCACGTTTAAAATATTTGCTAAATGTCATGGCTTGCGTGGTGCTGTGATCATCGTTGTTTATGAATTGGTATTTGAATCACTTGCCTGAAAAGGATGTCTCAATCTGCCAGCTTTGCTTTTTATTTACTCTCAGATGCTAAACTGAGTAATAGTCTTAAATTATTGTCTTTATCTTATCTGACAGCAAGAACATCCTTCACAACTTAAATAACTTCCTAAAATCCAGAATCTTGGTATTTACGGCTGAGTAGCAGACTCGTTAGTTGCTAGTGAAAATAGGCAAGTCTCCCTTGTAGTTAGCTGTCTCTCTAGGTTCTTACGATACATCTAATGTTGGGATATTGCCAATATTGTAG